AAAATTTTGGTAGAAGTAGCGATTGGTGCTCACCGTAGACGAGTACCAGACGAGAAAGGATTCATGGTTTCGTCCAGGGTTGAAACTTCCGGAAGGAGCTGCAATCAGATCCAATCAAATTAAAAGCTGCAACTAATCAATCAACAAATGACGGCTGCACGGAATTGAACCGAATTTCTATTCAAATCTTAGGATCCGCAGCTTGAATACCCAAAAGTTGGAATTCGAAGATCTAAGAAAGACAAAGCAGGCAGAGATGTGGATCTGAGCAGCAGAGAAAATGCAAGTCGCTGTTTTCCTTTTATTTTATTCTTTCTTCCCGGTGACAATAAAAATGCTTGCCTGCTTCTTTTTGTCTTTGTAAAACTAAATTTAAAAATAAAAAAAAAAGGAACTGTAAAACGAAAAAACGGGAGCGCTGAGTTATTTAATTGCCACCGGTCGCATCTGCATAAATATATGACCCATGGATCGGACAGGTCGGGAAAATGTTTTGATGTACGTTATATATATATATATATATATTAAAACTGTCAATATTCATTTCATACGGAATATAAAAAATGTTTTTAACATTTGATAAAGCAATTATATAGATCTTTATATTTTTTAGACTATTTTAATGTTAGCATTTTATTTTTAGAAAAAAAAGATATCTTCGTAAATAAAAAACCGTTAGTTAAAAATATGGGTCAAAATGAACTCAGGTACGACGTAGTCCATTATGAGATGACCATCGTATTTTAATTTCTTTCATTTACAATATCAAAATTCAAATTTTTAATTTTATTTAAGAAATCTAATATTTGATTCTACTAGACAATCAATTACGTGTAAATTACATATTTAATCCAACTGTATATTGACTTGCTAAAACCTGATGAAAATGGTTGAATCATCAATGTAAAGCTCGCTACAAAAGACCTCATTGCGACCTTACAAAATATTAGGTTAGCCAGAGTGAACACAAAAAAATCTCAGTTCTGTGTTTAATAGTCACTATTTAATCCAAATTTGTTCGGAAGCGAATGTTGTTGTGATGATTGTAGATGTCTCATAATAAACAGGACTGATGACTAAAGATTCATACTACCTAATTTATTCTTGAACTGCCCCCAAAGCTGATCTCCTTTGTTTTCTCGTGGTTCTGCTCGTAATACGTATGTGGGGTGGATGATAAATAGCAATGATGCTCCTGCATATTAGATAGAACCAACCTGGCTTTTTTTTGCAACTGCTAGATCTTTTTTGTCTTTAGACATGAAAGGGTACGTTTTCCTAGGGGTGGAGGTTCCAGTATCAATTGACGGAGGCTCATCATCGTCTGGTATCACAAAGCTCTCATGTTCTGGCCAAGGCATCAAGTGCTTCAGTTGTTGCCGGTTCTGGTTCTGATATTAATATTTGTACTTCCTTTAAGATCTCCTCCACAAGTAACTCATCTAGTGACCAAAGCCTTCGGAATAAAAGGTCTTCAGAAGATCCCAATGTTGATCATAGTCTTAGGGTATGTCTTCGATCAATTATTTATTTTAAGACAGTTACTGACATACTCACGTGATTTGTCAAAATTGATTATGTTGTAAGACAGTCTTATCCATCCTTTCTATTATGAGGACGTCTAACACTAAAGGTCACTAAAAAAATCCTTCGTACATCAGCAGTTCCCTCTGTCGTCTACTGCTACCCCTTTCGGATGGTTCATCCTTGCCTCTCGAGGCTTCCCATCAACATGTCCGAACCGTACCCTTCAGGGGAACCAGCAAGCACATTCTCCACAGTGTATCCACTCTCCAATGCCATCATTGGCCTGCTAGTGATTGCTATAAACACATGATCCCCATGGAGATTAGCATATCAGATATCATTCTCCAAATAAAAAAAAATGGAAATATGGGTTTTAACAGTCGGTATCAGAGATCCAAACCCGTTTCGTTATTAGTTTTGAGTAACCATAACCATTTCATAAAGGCTGACAAAGAACAAAAAATACATCAAAGCTAGGATTTAAGCTTTAAACTAACTGAAGCTTACTTGCAGGTGAAAAAGCAGTAGGAGCTGAAGAGACACCTCCAAGAAGAAGCAAAAGAGCAACACCCAGAATAAACACATTTTTCCCCATTGTTGCTATCAACAAAGAGTTGTTAGATATTAAAAAAAAATCAAGCTTTACACACCGAGAAGATGAAACCCAGAACCCAGTTTGGAATTTGGAACCTGGGTCTTTTGCAGAGAAGTGAATGAACAGAGTGTAATAAGACACGCATAAAAGAAACTGCGTGCTTTTTTAACTAGAAAGTTTAGCAACAACGACAGAACTTTAATTCGATGCTTGTTTTGTCAATCAAGCTGTTCTTGCTCATCTTTCCTCGTGTTAAAATGATTGTAAAAGCCTCCATTAATACAGTGATGATCCACATTCCCATTCATAAATCATAATAAGATCTTGCTTAGTTAACAGTTCGTCGTTTTCATTGGTAATGACAGACAAGTTGTCAACAATAAAAAATTAAAAAGAAACGGGTAACTTGAATAATAGAGGGTATAATGTAACATATGAATATCGGTTTAATTAATATAATTATACACGTGAAATATTGATTTAAGCCAAATAATACTTATAAAATATTGGTTTTAATGTAACTGTATATATTTTATTTTTTTGGATAAATCAGTTGTGTATTAATTCAAAAAAGACATCCACCGCTGCAACAACAAACTACAAAGGGATCAATTCAAAAGGATCCCCCAACTGCCACACAAAGCAGTATTCACTCCATCTAACCTATCTATACATCAAAATTGTAAACGAATCCTCACCACTTCCTTAATACAATCCACAATATCCTCAGCCGAACGAATTTTCCCCCTAAACTGCCTATGATTATGTTATTCCCAAACAAAATACAAGAACCCCGCCCAAGCAAGCTAAAGAATACGAACAAGAAGGGACTTACCTTTAAGCTTCTCCACTACCTAGCACATAGCATTGTCCCAATCAAACTGTCTCGATCGCAGGCAGCAAAGTTGCAGCACTTGGTTCCAAACTGCACGAGAAATGGCATTCCATAAAGAGATGATTTCTGGTCTCAATATGAATTCCACACAAATTGCAAATACCATCAGTAGCCCGTCCCAGTCGAGCCAGCCTATCCTTTGTGGGCATCCTATCCAAGATAATCATCCAAGCAACAATCGAATGCTTAGGAATGTGAAGAGGGAACCAAACAACCCGATGCTTAAACCTTAAATCATCGATAAATATAATTATTTATAATAGATTATTACGTCGATAAATAATTTTTAAAACTTAAATTAAATTAAAGTTTCATATATAATTACACAAAATTAGAATCTATATATAAAGATTAAGTTTGACACCGAAATCGTTTGTGATTTAATATTCAACCCCTAAAAATTTCGACTATAAAATTCCTAAAACCAACGAAAACACTTAAAAAGTAAACTATAAACATAAACTTTTTGTATTTTTTTTGTTCAATCAAGTACCAAGCTTAAATGCTCAATTTGATGCTTAAACCTTTTTATTCATTTAAGTTTTGAACTTTATTTTTTAGTTCAAATTGATATTTATAATAAATGATTTATTTGAATCGATTTAAATCATGAAGTCGAATTTATATAGTAATTTGAACCTAAAATTCAAGTCCCGGTACATATTGAACACCCAAAGAAAAATAGATACCAAGTTGAACTTTAAAACCAAGTTCAAGTATCAAATTGCACCTTAAAACTATGTTCGGATACCAAAATGTTTTCGCCCCCTAAGGACGAGCGTAATTGCAAAGGCAACCAGCCCCGAAACATGCTCCTCTTGCTTCACCTCCATGTTTTGCTTACACAAATTCGTGCAAGTTTCATTTCTGCAATCTTCCATTTGTATTGCTTCACTGCAAAGTTCTACCTTTCTTGTTGCTACCGCCTCTTCTCCTGTTTTTATTTTTTACAAATAATAGGGTTAATTAATATTTGATCGATATAATAAAAACACAAGAATTAAAGCATTATTTATTTATTACTTTGTATGCCAAGTATTAGTCTTAGTGGATTTTACCTGCTGCAAAATGAAGAAGCATCATGAATAATATTGCAGATACTTGTAAATTCTTCATGATTTTTCTTTTACCTTTTTGTTTATTTTATGGAAATGAGCATACAATTATCCTAAATATATAGAGGAAGTAGTTGGAAGAAGTGTTGCATCCAAATATTATTACCATTAATTAAAAACTGTCACCTAAGTAATAGAATTTGGGATTGAGGGAGATTGTTGAATTGATTGCTAAATCAAGAAAGATGAGTCAGAGGGTAGTAAGGGCAGCCACCCTCTATTTCAAGCCCTCTAGAAATCAGTGTATCCATCGTAAGTATGGATGGATCGAATGGAGGCAAGCATGGTAGTCATCTCCTAAAAATTTTAAATTTTCATATATTTTAGACTCTTTTTTTTTATATTTTGTATTGATAATATGTTTTCATCCTTAAAGTTTTATAAGTTTGTCCCTTTAAAATTTTATAAGTTCGCCAACATAAAATCCTACATCTGTCATGTTCGTAAGAGCCTCGGATAGCCATCCAAGCTCTACGTGAAAATGTGAAAAGGAAACCAAATCAACCTTGTTCTTCTTCTTCTCTCAAATCTCATGCCATATTTTCGCAGTAGGTGAATTAGCAACAGTCCAAACAGCATCTAGAAGAGCAGATTCCAGAGTTTTAATGTTGAGTAATTTTCTCCATAACCAGCTCATTGAATGTTTTACTTGAAGCTACGACAAGTTTCTCCATAACCTTGATTGCATGGTTTTTTTCCTTTTATGTTACTCCGACTTTTCATTTTTAAATATTTTTATCTACCTATTTTCGAGTCTTTGATGATTAGATACTATGCAGAGTATGCAAGAGGCAAAAGGGTGAAATTTTCATCGTTTACTAAAAACTGACGTGGTACCAACGTGAACGAGAAGCCCTCCACATATATGTGTATATATAATATTTGCACATAACTGTAAAGATGTATATGATACATTTCCGGTTTGTCTGTGACCAAAATTATCCCATAAAAGAAGAAACAAAAAGGAAAAAGATATTAAACATGATATATCATACCCACCTCCAACGTAGATGCATGGGGTACACTTAGCGCATACGTTGGTGGTCGGCTGTTTCTTCTCAAGAATTCATACCCATAGTTTATTACAATTTTTTTAATCAGGCTAGACCCTTGCTTGGCCTTAACATACGAGTGCCCTAGTATGTATGCTATCCCCGCTTCCCTAGCTTCCATAAGTTCCTGCAACTCTTCCCTCGCACCCGTGTTGACCTCCGGGCTCTTCGGGACGATGAACCTTACTCTTTTTCTCGGTTTCATTACATGTGGTGGTGACCGTATCTCCTTCAACTCTGATGGACCAGCTGTCTCTATGTTGTCTGCGTCATCCTCACTCATCTGAATCCCTTCTGTGTGGCTAGAACATGTTCCAATAACCGTCATTTTATCTTCTTCCTTCAATGGATCTTCGTCAACATGGGCAGGAGAAATGCTTCCCGAACGTATGAACTCTGCTATACTACAGACAAGATCATTCTCGAACTCCATGTCATCTTTGTGAACATCACGATAACCGTATCGTACAATACACCTATAGAGCCTGTATTCCCTGGGTCCAATATGACCAACCAAAAACCGTTCCTCAGGTTTAACATGAGGAACCGGGACGGATTTGATGCAAAGAAAGACTAAGACCTGATGGAAGGCTGGAAGGTTAGTGACAAAGTGGGAGAAAATTGCAGGGATTCCAGATACAAGCTCCGTGTGTATAAGTCCGATCCCACGAACCCGTACTATGCCTAGACTGGGACCCAAGCTAAGTAGCCAGTTAATAGAGACCTTGTTTTGAACATCGAACTCGTATTTTTTCAGGGTACCGTAGTGCCAAACACACATGATTATAAGGAAGATGAATGCGAGGGCAACCGGAACCCAGGCCCCTTCGAGGAACTTGGTGAGGGAAGCAGTGAAGTAGAGTGCTTCAATCGTGCCGAAAAAGAAAACAAATGCTATTGCCAAGAACACACTCTTTTGCCAGCATAGAACAATTACCAAAGACATTAGGCAAGTAGTGACCAGCATCACAGTTATAACAGCCAAACCTGTCCCACAAGAAACATGGAGTCAAAACCACTAGTACAAACTCAGACCAAAAGAGGCTCCGATTTCTGTTTCGTATTGAGATTCAGATATTTATTGTACAACCAATCTATAAGAGAAAAATAATTGATGGTGCAAATCGGCCTAATGAATTGATACATCTATTGTACATGGCAAATTTTCGGACCTACAAAAAGCAATCTATAAGTTGAGCACAGTTTTAGGTGGGTCGAAAAGGACACCATAGGTTTCCAGTTTCTTTATATAAAGAAATGGTTCGGGCAAGAATATGAAAATGAGATCGCAAGATGCTCTAAGCCCCAAGTTATACAACCAATTGAACACATTTATGGAGAGGATTGTCATACCTGATGCATTACCCAAGCGCCTCGTGTCTCTAAAGCCAATAGTAACTGCCAGGCATAACACCATCAAAAGCCAGTTAATCTCGGGAATGTAGATCTGGCCATGGATTTTGGACGATGTGTGAACTATTTTGACCTTCGGGAAGCATCCAAGGGAAGAGCACTGTTTGATTATCGAGAACGTTCCAGTTATGATAGCTTGGCTTCCCACTACTGCAGCAAGTATGGCTATAACCAAAACTGGCCATCTTAACTTCTCTGAAGCAATAACATTTGGATAGTTGCAGTTAGCTGAAAAATCAAATTCTTATCCGAATTAGATCATTTCAATAACAATTCAAGGTACCTACCTGGTACGGATACATAAAATCCAATTTGGAAATCACTGTCTATAGTATGATGCCGAGATAGATAGGCAGCTTGCCCCATGTATGCAAGAATCAAGGATGGATAAACCAAAGAGGTGAAAGCAATCTGCGTAAACGGGGTAATTCCCATTCGATAAAAGCAGTTCATTAGCATAATTCAAAGCTGAATAATAATCAGCAAGCATGCAATTCAGTAGTTCTTTTGCAAACTAGACTTGCCAACTCTAATCCTAATTTCATAAATTTGAAAAACTTGCTCAATGCATCTAAACATAGCCTATTCGATAGGTCTAAATGCTCACTTATTTAAAAGAAAAAATCCCTAACCATGAATTAAGGATATATACCTTTATGGACAATTGTGAAAAATGTCCAAGATCAGCAAACATTGCTTCTGAGCCTGAAAATTGGAAATGTAAATCAACTTAAAATAAATCTCTTTATTCTAAAATAGAAAAGAATTATACATGCGCGCGCTCACCTGTTATACACAATAAAATTCCACCCAGAGACATCCAGCCACCTCTCTGGGTTTTCCGAAAAAATTTGTACATATAATACGGAGACAGTGCTTGATACACATGAGGGTTCCAGTGAATGATATTATATAACCCAATGGCACTAATGCAAAGAAGCCATAATAGAACCACGGGTGCAAACAAAAATCCAACCCTATGAGTGCCATAATGTTGAAGGGCAAACAAGCCTATCAGTATGATGCAGGTGACTGGAACCTCTACATCTGCCAAAAAATCGCTGAACCTTCATAAGAGGCAGTACAATGCTATATGGAATTATGAATGACATACGAAGAGAATAAGGTGGTACAAATACTCATGTATAAAATAAAGAACAACTTGAATAGAAGCCGTGCACGTAAGAGTAAAAATACAGTTAGTACTCGTGGAAACTTCTGCTAAGAAACTTCCGAAAACATTTCAATGTAGTCTTTATTTATAGCATTTCATAGGAGCATTAGTCATGCTAGCGTTCAGAGGGGCATAGTAATAGCTTATCTGAAGCACGATTACTATAATTCGGGCAGAAAGAAAAGTATACTATTAAACATTAGAGTCAATGTGAAACCAGGGTCCCCAGCAGCACATGAGTTCACATCGTACACGGTTCAAATAAGTTGTCTAATTTGAAAACTCAAATTATTAGGTATATCATTTCTTATAGAAACTATAACTTATGAAGTAACGCCTTCTTACGAAACTAGGTGCCAAAGTATGCACTCATAACAACTCTATCCCAAGGTGGGGCAGTAGTTTTGATTTAAACAGAAAGTTTCAAACGAAAGCAGAGTACACAAGCAGAAATGTCGCTTAAGATATTCAATCTACTAGTTTGGGCGGACTATACAACTGTGCCCCAGTTTAGCATATTGATTGAAAGTCTAACCAACTTGAGGTGAAAGGTAGAACCATGGGTTCCACAATACATATGTTTTGGGTTTGGGGGACCGAGATTAAAGACTGAAGACAATCATTGAAATCATGCACCTTATCATTTAGGTTGTTGAAGAACAAAAGGCCAAAAGGCAAATAATAGAAACTTAGAAAAAGCCTAAACAACCATCCTAAAACTGGAGAATTACTGAAGTAATCAAAGATTCAAAAGGATAAAAAATTCTCATTTTTACTAAAATACAGCAACACCAACAGGGATTTGCATCGTAGCCCATTTATATAAAAAAAAAAGTACCCGAAAACTTTTCCTAAAGGCCGAGTTTTTACTATCAACAGTGATTTGTCTTCTCTGGCTCTCACCAAAAGGATATTTAGAAGCTACAGTTTATGTACAGCCAAACAAAGTGAAGGGAGGAAGTATCTTACATTTGTGATGTTCTTTGGACATCGAAAGCTCGAGACCGGACACGGCTGAGAATACTGCACGACAACGCAGACAATCAAGAAATTCAGTTTATGGCACAATTAGCACAAATAAATCAATTCAGGGAAAGAGAAGTCTAATTACCAGAAATAGCTGGTGTGAGGATACCATCACCAATCACCATACAGGTCCCAATCAAAGCAAGAACAAGCAAGAACCTTTGCAACACCCTGTGCTTCTCTAAAGTGGATTTCACGCTTGACCCGAAACTCGATTTTGGTGCCAAACCAATACTTTCCTTCTTGTACTCAAACAGCTCTTCATCAGCCAATTGACAATTGGGGAGAGAGTTAACACGGGCGTGTCGACACAGCAATGAATACAAGGCAAAAGTCCCTCCTTCACCATTATCATCAGCTCTAAGCACAATGAACACATATTTGAGCAAAGGCACCAAAGTTAGAGTCCAGAAAACAAAAGACAAAACCCCAAAGATTTCCTCATTTGTCTCCGAGTGTCGAATATCTTCCTCAAATGTGTTCTTGTAAACATACAAAGGGGAAGTGCTTAAATCCCCATAGACTACACCAAGGCTTTGGTATGCTAAAGTCAATACAGTTCTCCATGATTCCTTCTGCAAGAAAAAAAAAAACTTCCAATTAGAACCTGAGATCCAAAACCCAAAACAGAAATTTGGTTTCAGTACAAAAGAAGTAATACAAATTAGTCAAACAAATCCATCTTACCTTAACATAATTTTGGTAAACACCAGTTTCCAGATCCATGATCGAGGAGATTCAACGAATTCCCATTTGCTAAATAAGCCTTCTCCAGAACATACACAAGGGATAAAGATAAAAAATTCAAAATTCAAGACCAAAGCTTTTTTTTTCCTTTTTTTTATTCTTTAGTGACAGAGTTGTATGTATGTAGAGAGCAGTTGAGCATTAACCAATGGAAACAGCAAAAACAAAGAAGAACTTCCAAGACACAGAAAACCAGTAGTGAATAACAAGTATAATACTTTATAGTAAAAATAAAAAACCTGTAGTGGTTAAAAACATGAAAAATAAGGGACTAGGTGTGCTATGATTCTTCTTTTGCGTGTGACTTGTGAGGCTTCTGGAGAAAGAAGACAGAGAGAGAGAGAAGCTTGTTTGTGTTTGTTGTGTTGTTGGTGGGGAAAGTTTTATATGGATTTCAGTTTTATTGATAAGTAACTGCTATTTAAATAATTCAGAAAATACTTTTGTACTCGTCTTGAAATTTCATTATTTTGAATCATACATTGTGTAGACACTAATTTTTTAATTTTATTATTATTATTATTATTAAATAAAATACACATTACAAATTATAATATGGATCCCATATTATTAAGAGAAAATAACCTCAGTGACAAAAAATGCCTTATAATATACGATTTTAACCAATTTTTTTTGGATTTGCCAAAATGATCAACTAAATCGCAATGCGATCGATAATTCGCAACGCGATCTCCGGTATCGCAAATCAGTTTCCAGATTCGCAACGCGAACTTGGACTATCGCATTGCGATTTACATATTCGCATTGCGATAGTCCAAGTTCGTGTTACGATTTTCCAAATTCGTTGCGATAGTCGAAGTTCGCGTTGCGATTTATTCCAAATTCGTTGCGATAGTCGAAGTTCGCATTGCGATTTATTTCAAATTCGTTGCGATTTGGTGGTATTGCATTTGTTTCTTAAGAATTTTCTCTAAAAAGATAGTATTCACGCGGACGTGTTGAAGACACGTATTACCACGACCACGACCACGAACACGACCACGACCACGACCCGACCCGACCCAAGACGAGACGAGACGGACGGCGGCGGCACGCGAGAGTCCCCCTTGTTCTCTATCACTCAATAAGGAATTGGGAAAGCCAAGCCTTAAATACCATTCCCAATAGTGTTTCCAATACTATGTGAGATTGAGAATTACCAACACTTGTTTCCAATACTATGTGATTATTCAGGAAACAATTAACAATCATGCACTTTAAAACAACTGAATCAACAACCAATTGCATTAGTATTATACGATTAAATATGTTATAATTAAAAGTCAATCTACAATCAATCGCGATTATTGCAATTTTAAGCAAAACATTCAAAAATAATATCACTATTTAAGGCTCAATCCACATAGTATTGGGAACAAGTGTTGGTAATGCTCAATACCACATAGTATTGGAAACACTATTGGGAATGGTATTTAAGGCTTGGCTTTCCCACTTCCTTGTTGAGTGATAGAGAACAAGGGGGACTCTCGCGCGCCGCCGCCGCCGCCGTCCGTCTCGGGTCGGGTCATGGTCGTGGTCGTGGTCGTGGTCGTGGTCGTGGTCGTGGTCGTGGTCGTGGTCATGGTCGTGGTAATACGTGTCTTCGACACGTCCGCGCGAATACTATCTTTTTAGAGAAAATTCTTAATAAACAAATGCAATACCACCAGTCGTTGCGATTTTGGACTATCGCAACGAATTTGGAATAAATCGCAACACGAACTTCGACTATCGCAACGAACTTGGAATAAATCGCAACGCGAATTTGGATTATTGCAACGAATTTGGAATAAATCGCAACGCGAACTTGGACTATCGCAACGAATTTGGAATAAATCGCAACGCGAACTTCGACTATCACAACGAACTTCGACTATCGTAACGAATTTGGAATAAATCACAACGAATTATAGATCGCATTGCGATTTAGTTGGTCATTTTGGCAAATCCAAAAAAAGTTGGTTAAAATCATATATTATAAGGCATTTTTTGTCACTGAGGTTATTTTCTCTATTATTAATCCCGAAGCCCAAGAGGAGGCCCAATTCTGGCCCAATCGTTTACAACCCAGATCCAGAAGCCCAACTAAACCCTAAAACCATATTAGGGTTTCTACCAGCCCCAGCCGTCACAGATCCTCAACCGTTAGATCTAATCTGATCCAACGGTCCTGATACTTCCAGACAAAACCCTAGGGTTATGATACCCTATGACAAACACGCGTCGCCGCCTATGCCAAATGCTACCTCCAGCCGTTGCCGACGCTCCATGCTGCCACAATGCCAACCGAAGGCTCTAGAAGGCCCAGCCATAGCCGCACACATCGCCCCCAACGGTGAGTCACCACTGGAAGTTCGGTGACTCACCAAACTTTTCCCTTGTGACCGGTACGAGCAAGGCTCCGTGGTGGTTATAAAAAGCCATCAAATCCTACTAAAGAGAGGAAAAAAAAAAGAGAAAAGAAAGAGAGTAACAGAGATCGACGACAAGAAAGAAGAGGAACACATATCGACACGAGCAAAGAGAGAAAAAGCAAGAAACCACCAACAACAAGCAATCTACAGCTACAAACTCAAAAGAAAGAGAAAAGCCTAGAGACTTACCTCGCCGGAGCCTCCATACGTCGTTAGAACTGAAAGGTCGAAGGTAAAGAATATTAGATCTACGAGTTTTTATAGCGTTTTAGGCTAAAATAACCCCAGATTTAGCTTTAGGATAATCGGGGAGTATATTTGTAATTTGTCGGCCACCGTGAACGGTAGCCGGAGGTGGTGGTCGGTGCCGGAGTGCGGCTGCCGGCCGGAACTCTTTTCCCTCCGGTGAGGGAATTGAAGAGAGAGTGAAGAGAAAAATTAAACTTCTCTCTCCTAGAGAGAGAAGTGAAAAAAGAAAAATGAAGAAAGATGGCCTAGGGCCGGCCATTTATGGGTTTAAAAACCCTCTCCCAAACGACGCCATTTTGAGGGAGGGTGTTTCTGTAGTTTTGCTTATGGGCAAACCCTTTCCGTCAGCATCCTAGTTTTGTAATTATTTATTTTAGTCACTGAAACTAACTTCTGAACTTTTTAATTTGGTCTCGTAAGTTTATTGTATTTTATTTTGGTCCTTTCCAGTATAGGTTTATATATTTAGGGTAAATAACTAACTTAGTCCCTTATAATTTAAATTAATTTTTTAATCACTGATTAATAATTAAGGGATAATTATAGTATTAGTAATTATTATTTTTTATAAATTGAATTAGGCCATTAATTTATATGTTTTATATTTTAATCCCTAAATAGTTCGATAATTTTTATTTAATATACTTTACAATTTAATTTTATAAATTTAAATTTCTTTTATTATTATTTATTTGCAATTTATATTTTTACTTGTTTGCTTTCAATATGTTTAAATTATTATTATTATTTTATTATAAATATATATACATATATTGGTTTAAATATTATAAATTATAATTTAGTTTTATTATTTTTGTTTTTAAGAAAAATTATTACATTTTTAGTTATTTATTTATTTATTAATATCGAAGGAAAGAGCTGTCTTAAGGCACCTAGAAACTCTTTTCTGATATTTTCAAATAAATAAATATCTTATTATATTAAAATGAATTTTTATTTTTAAAGAAAATGTTTTAGTCATTTATTTAGTTTTTAATATCGAAGAAAAGAGCTGTCTTAAGGTACCTAGAAGTCATTTTCTGATATTTCTAAATAAATAAATATTTTATTTATAAATATATATAAATTAATAGATTTTCTTAAAAATTATAGTAATAAATTTGAAATAACAAGAATTATAAATTAAATATATATTTGAATTTTTAAATTCTAATAATAGAGACAATTTATAATTAAAAAGTACCAATTTTGGGCGTTTTGGGGGTGATAATCCTTCCCCAAACGTAACCGACCACGAATCCCTTTTTATTAATAAAAAGAATGAATTTTTGGTTATAAACGCAGATCAGTTCATCTTTTAACTGATATTTTCTTAAAAACTCTTTTAAAAGATAATTTTTAGGTATTCAACCTACCTGACCCAAAAGGCCGATGGAGACTCCCAAAACATTTTAAAAAATATTCATTCACACCACTTTTCCCGCCAAATAAAAATTTCGTGCCCGGGTGAAAACCGGTTACGACAGCTTGGCGACTCCGCTGGGGACTACTCAAGCTTTTAAATGAATTATAAATTGTCTCTATTAATTAGAAATTAAAAATTCATATATTTAATTTATAATTCTTTTCTTTTAAAATTTTTATACTTATTATTTTATAATATTTTATATATTCTTCTTTATGATTGTTTTTTTATTTAAAGGTATTAAATTTCATTTTTTATTTGTTTGTCAGATGTTTGAATATTTCTCCTCACACTCAACACCTGCATTGTATAACATAAGCTTTCTAATCAAGCTTATCCCTTTTAAGTGGGAGTGAAAGCGACGTCTTCGTGAGAATTTATTCTCCGTGTTAGACCTAGCAAGTAACTTTCGGGGTTCATATGCTCTATGTCTTCATGAGAATTTATTCTCCGTGTCAGGCATAGAGAAATGTGTCCCCTCGAATTGAACTCGATCCGCTTAAGTCTGTAATGGACTAGGATTGAAGGTTTGACAGCCCAAGGGGGCATCAACAAGGACAATTCGAGTACCTTTACTCCTAGAACTGAAACCCTGCATATAATAGACCCTAGAAAGGATCTAAGACTGTACTGAACCTCTGTCCATAGGTGTACACAAAGTAGAAATAAGTTCTAGCATTTAATTTATTTGATTTCATGCATGCGAACTAGAAATCATGCAGTTATGTTAATTTTTCAAACCAAGCATGGAATTAGAAATCATGAGGTTAGGATTTATACCTTGATAGATAGATTTTTTCTATTTGTTGGTACTAACTATTTTAATTTTTTTCTTATTTTCTTACTTTCTTATTTATTTATTTTTGCTCTAATTTATTTATATTGCTTTCTTTTGTTTGCATTGCATGATCATGGCATAACCAAAAGGTGTTTACTTGAAAGACTGTTCATCAAATTGGAAAGACTTCATAAATGGACAAAAAGTTTTATTATCAAACAAAATATGACGCGGCCAAGAAAAGACATCCTGAGGGAACTCCGAAGATAGACAAGAGCTATACACCCAAAGATTGTATGCCCATTGAAGAGCAAA